CGGGGGCACCCCAAAGTAACACTAATGGCGTGGGGGGGGAGGGGGGCACCCCAAATGAACACAAACCCCCCAGCGAAGGCGGCGCCCCAAAATCCCACCCTGTGATGGGGGGAGGGGCAGGCGGGGACCCCCTCACCCCCCCCACCCCCAGCTGGTTTTGGGGTGATGGGGAAGGGGTGGCACCACGGGACCCCCCCCGGGATGAGTTTTGTGGGTGGCAGCACTGGTTTGGGGGTCCCATGGGTATGGGGGGGATGGGTTGGGGAGGGGGTCAGGAAATTTTGGGGTCCCTGGGGTGGCTTTGGGGTCCCCAGGATGGTTTTGGTGTCCCCAGAAGTGTTTTTGGGGTCTCTGGGTGAGTTTTGGGGCCCCCAGAGCTGGTTTTGTGGTCTCTGGGTGGATTTTGGGGTCCCCAGAGCTGGTTTTGGGGTCCCTGGCGTGGTTTTGGGGATCCCAGGATGGTTTTGGTGTCCCCAGAGCTGGTTTTGGGGTCTCTGGGTGAATTTTGGGGTCCCCAGAGCTGGTTTTGGGGTCCCCAGGATGGTTTTGGTGTCCCCAGAGCTGGTTTTGGGGTCTCTGGGTGAATTTTGGGGTCCCCAGAGCTGGTTTTGGGGTCCCGGGGGGTTTTGGGGCGCAGGGAGGGGCTCGGGGGGGTCAGGGGTGCCGTTTTTGGGGAGGGGGCTCAGAGGAAGGCGTCGCACCACTCGCGCAGGCAGCCCGAGCAGTCGCGGCTCTGTTTGGCGTTGGCCCCGCACGTCTCCTTGAGCCACTCCCGGAACAGCTCCTCGTCCTTGCGCAGCACCAGGAACTGCCCCAGCACCACGTACGCCTGAGGGGGGGACAGCCAGGGGACAGCCAGGGGACAGCGGTGTCACCAGGGCGTGGGGACACTGCCAAGGGTCCCCCTGTCCCTCCTGAGTGGCCCCAAAGAGCTCCGGTCCCGCCCCAGCCCTGCGGCTCCAAGAGATTCCAGAGGTGCCCCAGCACCAGGAATGGCTGGAGGGGACAGAGAGGGGACAGCGAGGGGACAGTGGTGTCACCAGGGGGTGGGGACATCACCCAGTGTCCCCATGTCCCTCCTGAGTCACCCCCCCAAGGAGCTCTGGTCACCATGTCCTTTCAGAGCTGCCCCAGCACCAGGAACACCTGGTGGGGACAGCGAGGTGACAGCGGTGTCACCACAGTGAGGGGACAGCCAGGGGACAGCGGTGTCACCAGGGTGTGGGGACATCACCCAGCGTCCCCCTGTCCCTCCTGAGTGGCCCCAAAGAGCTCCGGTCCCGCCCCAGCCCTGTGGCCACAAGAGACCCCAGAGCTGCCCCAGCACCAGGAATGGCTGGAGGGGACAGAGAGGGGACAGCGAGGGGACAGTGGTGTCACCAGGGGGTGGGGACATCACCCAGTGTCCCCATGTCCCTCCTGAGTCACCCCCCCAAGGAGCTCTGGTCACCATGTCCTTTCAGAGCTGCCCCAGCACCAGGAACACCTGGTGGGGACAGCGAGGTGACAGCGGTGTCACCAGGGGGTGGGGACATCACCCAGTGTCCCCGATGGTTTTGGTGTCCCCAGAGCTGGTTTTGGGGTCTCTGGGTGAATTTTGGGGTCCCCAGAGCTGGTTTTGGGGTCCCTGGGGTGGTTTTGGGGACCCCAGGATGGTTTTGGGGTCCCTGAAGAACTCGGGGGGTCCCCAACCCCTCCAAGGGGTGCCTGGAACTCGCCAGGAGTTTGAGAGATTTGGGGGTGCAGGGCTGGGATTTGGGGGCGCAGAGCCGGGCCGGGGGGCTCGGGGAGGGTTTGGGGCGCAGGGAGGGGCTCGGGACATCACCCAGTGTCCCCATGTCCCTCCTGAGTCACCCCCCCAAGGAGCTCTGGTCACCATGTCCTTTCAGAGCTGCCCCAGCACCAGGAACACCTGGTGGGGACAGCGAGGTGACAGCGGTGTCACCAGGGGGTGGGGACATCACCCAGTGTCCCCCTGTCCCTCCTGAGTGGCCCCAAAGAGCTCCAGTCCTGCCCCAGCCCTGTGGCCCCAAGAGATCCCTGTCCTTCCACAAACGCCTGGAGGGGACATCCAGGGGACAGCAGTGTCACCAGGGCCATGGGGACATCACCTGGGGACACTGACACCCTCCGCAGTGTCCCCACACCCCCCTCACTCCCTGTGTCCCCAACAGCTCCTGGCCCTTGTGTCCCCTCCCCTTGTCCCCACAGCACCCCTGGTTGTCCCCAGGGCTGTCCCCAATGCCTTCCTCAGTGTCCCCAAACCCCTACAGATGTCCCCACGTGTCCCTAACCTCTGGGAACATCTCTCTTTGTCCAAACCCTTTCCCAGGTGTCCCTGCTGTCCCCAGGTGTCTCAAAGTGTCCCCATTGTCCCCAGGTGCCCCTGCTGTCCCCAGGTGTCCCCAGCGTCCCCAGTACCCCCTTGTCAAAGCCCTTCTCCTCCAGTTTCCTGCACAGCACATCCCTAATGTCCCCGATCCCGGCCAAGGTCCCCACCGGCTTCTCCCCCATCGGCTCCGCCACGAAGTCCCGGTGCTTCTGTGACGTCGAGGACATGGCGCCTGGGGACAGGGGGGACACTGAGGGGACAGCCAGGGGACAGCCAGGGGACACTCCGACCGGTCAGGGGGACACGGTGCCTGGGGACACGCAGGGGACACTGAGGGGACAGCCAGGGGGACTTGGTGCCTGGGGACACGCAGGGGACACTGAGGGGACAGCCAGGGGGACACGGGACTGGACAGGGTGAGCGCCACCAGCACAGTGCAGGGACATGGGGACAGAGTGAGGGGACACTGGGGCAGGGTGAGGAGGGAGGGGACAGGGACAGGGAGGGGGTGGCGGCTTTGGGGACAGAGCAGGGGGGAGGGCGCGGGGACCCTGCGGGGACGCGGGGACAGAGCGGGGACAGGGACTGAGGGGGACACGGTGCGGGGGCACTGAGGGGACCATGAAGGGACCACGAAGGGACACCCCGGCCCTCCCGCCCCTCACAGGCGCCCCCGCTCCAACCGCCGCTCCCGCCTCAGCCCGCTGCCGCTACGCACTGACGTCACATCCGGCGGCGCGCCGTGCTGACGCCACTTCCGGCGGCGCGCGCCAAAACCATCGAGGCGAGCGCGTGGAAAGGGAGGGGAAGAGGCGCTCTGGGATCATAGAGACGAGCCGGGTCCTCCAAAGGCCTGCTGGGTCCGCCCAGGTGAGCCGGGACACCTGGAAAAGGCTCCAGGTGCTCCCGGGAACACCGGGAACCCCTCCGGGATCATCCCCGAGCCTCCCGAATGCCCGGACAGCGGCTCCGGGTCCCTCCCGGGCTGCCACGCTCACCCGGGCGCCTCCAGGTTCTCCCAAAATTCCCTCCCGTGCTCCCCGTTCCCTCCATCCCAAAGGATTCTCCCGAGAGGATCCTCAAAGAGAACAAAGGAGGCGATTCCGGCCCAACATCGGGGCAAAAAAAGGGGATTTTTATTAAATTTATGGGAATAATTACAGATACAACAGGCCATAACACGGGGAAGAGAAACACGGGGGAAAGAGATGGAATTTTGGGAAAAAATAGGAGTTTTGGAATAAAAAGGAAGGATTTGAGGGTAAAAATGAAAGGATTGGGTCACACAGGAGGATTTGATAGCAAAATATAAAAAACTGAGGGGAAATTATGAGATTTTGGGGCAAAATCCGGATTTGGGGGTACAAGGGAGGGAACCGGGACAAAGCAGAGGAATCTGAGGGCAAAACTGGAGGATTTTGGGATAAAAAGAGAGATTTGGGGAAAAAATAACGGTGAAATCCTGAGGAAATAAAAGGGTTTAGGGCAAAACTTAAAATTTTGGGAGGAAAAGAGAAATTTAGGGAGAAAAAAAGGGAATTTGGGGGGAAAAAAGGGAAAATTCCTCTCCCATTATAGAAATAAAGCAATTCCCGCCCAAAATGCAAATAAGCACTGACCTAATTTGCATAGGGGAAGGGCATAGTGATAACCCCACCCACATGCAAATGAGCATTTCAGACCACGCCCCTCATTATTTCAACACTGGGGGGGGGATAAAATTCGGGCCCCATTTTTGGGGTACAACCGCGGGATTTCGGGGTTTTCCCGCTCTGCCACCGATCCTTCCTTGGGGGGAGGAGCTCAGCGCCATTTTGGGGGGATTTTGGATTTTGGGGGGGGGTCCTGACCCAGCCTCAGGCCTCGTCCTCGGTCAGGAGCAGATTTGGGACCCCCCTGGAGATGGGGAAGCGGCGCCCCGAGTCCGGGCACTGCAGGGACCCCTCCAGCACCTCCACCTGCGGGGGGGGAGGGGAGAAATTTGGGGTCAAAAGGGGGGTCCCTGAGATTCGGGGAGCCCCCCTCAGGGGGTTTTGGGGACCCCCCTGACCTCGAGCAGGACGTGGTGGAGGCGGCGCAGGAATTCCTCGTCGGCCTCATAGCCGGGGGTGGGCTCGGGGGGCAGCTCCGAGGGGTGCCCCAGCTTTGGGGGGCACTCCCGCCGCTCACGCTCTCGGCCGCCTCCCGCAGCGCGTCCCAGCGCAGCCGCGGCACCAACCGGGACACGAAGGCGGCGTTGAACGGCACCGGGCGGACCCGAACCTCGGCGGCCTGCGGGGACCGGGGGGGTTAACGGGGGCTCCGACCGGACCCGAACCTGGAGGGAACGGGGGAACCGAGGACCCGAACCGGGGGGAACCGGGAGAGGGAACGGGAGGGTTAACGGGGGAACAACGGGATTAACGGGGGCTCCGACCGGACCGGAACCTGGAGAGAACGGGGGATAACGGGGAGTTAATTGGTGTTACCGGGGGGGGCACCGGGTGGACCCGTACCTGGAAGGAACCGGGGGAAGTAACGGGGGTTAATTAGGGGTTAACGAGGGTTAATTAGAGGTTAATTAGGGGATAACGGGGGTTCTAACGGCGGCGTTAACGGCGGTAACTGCAGGAGTTACCGGCAGAGTTAACGGGGATAACGTCCGGAGGGAACGAACGGGGCTGGGGGGGTGTGAGCGGTTACCGGGGGTGTTAACGGGGGGGAACGGGGATTAACGGGGCGGCAAATGAGAGAAATGGGGCCGTTAACGGGGATTTATCAGGGGCAATTACCGGCGGCTAATGAGGGTAACGAGGGGATTAACGGGGAGGAACCGGCCCGACCCGAACCGCGGCGGGATGGGGGACCGGGGCGTTAACGGGAGAGGACTGGGATAACGGGAACGGGGATAACGGGGGTGAGAACTGGGATAACGAGAATGGGATAACGGGAGGGGGACTGGGATAACGGAGGGCGGTTAACAAAGTTCACAAACGTGGAACGGGGCCGTTAACGGGACACTTAACGGGAGGGTTGAACGCGGGATTTATTGAGGGCAACGGGAAAAATTACCGGACGTTCCTGGGGTTAACGGAGGAGCTACCGGGAGTAACGGGGGAGGTAATGGGAGTGGCGGGAGGTAAATGAGGAGACACCGATGGGAACCGCGGCGGTGCCAGAGGAACGGGGAGGAAGCTGGGGGCAGCGTTACGGTTCCGGTAAAGGTTCCGGTAACCGCTAACGGCGAGAGGTGGCGGGGCCCTGTCAGAGGCGGGACCCGCGGTGTCCCCGGTGCCCCGGGGTCCCCCCGTCCCCCGCACCTCGATGCGCAGGGGGAATCCGCCCCCGGGCCGCAGCCCCGGCACGTGGGAGCTCAGCAGGTTGTGGGTCAGCAGCTTCATGGCGCCGCTTCCGCTTTCCGGCGCGTCACTTCCGGCAAGAGGCTGTTACCGGGGCAACGGGGCGGGGCTTAGCCAGAAACGGGCGGGGCCTCGTTCTGCGCTTAAAGGGGCGGGGCCCAAAGGGGCGGGGTCCGTTTAAAGGGGCAGAGACGTAAAATTAATTCATCCCCCCAAGACCTCCAAAGTATCCCCGAGACCCCTCCCCAAACCCCTCAGGGACCCCCAAAAGCCTTCAGAGCTCCTCTGAGGATTTGAGACCCTTCCCCAAAACCTCTCCAGTCCCCCCTTCCCACAGTCCTGGCCCCCAGGGTGGCCCCATCCCTTTGTTTTGGGAGTCCCCATGTCTCAGGATCACTCCCGAGGCCCCACTGGGGACCCCAACCCATTTTGGGCTGGATTTGCCCCATTTTGGGGGTATTGTTTACCCCCTCAACAGACCCAGGATTGTCATTGAGGCCTCCAAATCCAAACCCCCTCATTTTGGGGTGCCATGGTGCCCTCTTTGGAATCCCCTGCCCCCCAATATTCCCTTGGGAGCCCAAATCCTCCCCCTCTCCCCCTATTTTGGGGCACTCCCAGGGGTACTGTGATGCCCCTAAATCCTTGTGGGAATGACACTCAGACCCGCCTAAAACAGAAACAAAGGTGGGAACACAAATGCAGTTCATTTATTCAATATTTGGGTGGAACTCCAACAGCCCCCAGAAAAGAAAGAAAAACCCTCAAAATGGAGTTGTGGAGAGAAAGAAAACCCCCCAAAAAAGGACTTTGGGCCAGAGGGAGCAGGATGAAAACCTAAAAAATGAGTGAGGGGAGCTGAGTGCGGGACCCCAGCCAAAATGAGGGCGTGCAAGGCTGGTGAGGGAAGGGGGTCAGCGCACAAGTTTTGGGGTGCTGGATGCAGTTTTGGGGTGCCAAGACCTCCATCACCGTGAGGATCGTGGGTGAGGAGGGCTGGGGGTTGAGGGGGGTCTGTGAAAGGGGGCGTGAGGGAAGGTTTGGAGGGGCTGTGGGATGAGTAGGGGGCTGGGGGGCTGTGATGAGTGAGCAGGCCGGGGGCAAAAAGGATATGCGCGGCTTTTAAAAGTGGGTTTGGGGGCGGTGTGAGGGGGGATGTGGGGGGACTGGGGTTAGGCGGGGGCTGGGTTTTGGGGTGTTTTGCGGTGTTTTCCAGCGCTCGCCGCCATTTCGCCGCCGTGAGGGGAGGGGGGGGCGCGCGAGACTCGCCTTTTCCCGCCTTTTTCCCGCCTGAGGGGAGGAAGTGAGGGGGGGAGGGCGGAGCGCGAGACTCGCCCGGCGGGCGCCAGGGGGCGGGGCGAGCTCCGTCTTTCCACCAATCGTAACACAGGGATGGAATAATAGGCGGGGGCGAGCGGGGGCTGGACCAATGGGAAGAGGGGCTGGCGCGGGTGGGGTCGGCGGGTGTGGGCGGGGCCAGCGCAGTCGCGGTCGGAGCGCGGTCGGTGTCGGTTCGTGTCCGGGCCGAGTCGTTGGCCGGGCCCTCGAGGGGGGTCTCTGCGGCCCTGCTGAGGGTGGGAGGCGTGGGGCGGCCTTAGGGGTGCTCCCGTCGCGGTTTTAGTCCTCCCGGTGCTTGTTTTCCTCTCAGAGCTGCTGTGAGAAATGTCCCAGCGGAAGCGCAGCAAAGGGCTTGGCTACTCTCAGGTGAGAAGCCGTTCTCCCCTCATTGTCTCTTCCATTGTCCCCTTCTCGGTTTCGGTCCCTTCTCTATCATCAAATTACCCCGCTTCTCCTGTCCTTTCCACTCAGATGACCGATGGGGAGGATGATTTCATCCCGACCCAGGTGGAGCGGCGCTCCCAGGACCAGGTGAACCAGAAGGTGGATTGAGGTGATCCCCTCTCTGCCCGCTCCCGGAGTCCTGTGTCTGCATTCTTTTGATATCAGCCCGCTCTTGGCCTTCCCTGCTCGTTCCCCCACAGGTGAGTGAGCTGGTGCAGTTCCTGCTTGTGAAGGACCAGAAGAAGATTCCTATCAAAAGGGCAGGTACGTTTGGGGGAGCCCCCTTCCTCCGTGTTTAGACCCTTAAAACCTTTCTTTAAGCTCAGAGCTCTAGGCTCTCTCAGCATTCCTTTTCTGCAGACATGCTGAAGAATATAATCCGGGAATACCGGGATGCCTACACGGAAATCGTCAGGAGGGCGGACAGGACCCTGCAGGAGGTGGGGGGAGCACGGCAGGGGAAGGGGAGGCTTTTGGGGGGGAGATGCCCCGTGGATTAACCCCTGCGCTCCCGCAGGTGTTCGGGCTGCAGCTGGTGGAGATCGACACCAAACGCCACATCTACATCCTCATCAACAACCTGCCCCGTGCTGAGGGCGAGTACCTGTGCAGGTGAGGGGCACCTGGGTGATTTGAGGGGTGGGGGGACCCCATCGGCGTGTCCCCAGCATGGGTGACACCCCGCTGTGTGCCTCAGGGGCAAGGAGAAGGAGAAGATGGGGCTCCTCTTAGTCATCCTCAGCTTCATCTTCATGAAGGGCAACTCAGTTAAAGACAGTGAGTTCTCCCCAGCACCCCGTACCCCACTTTGCCTTTGCACCCCGCTCACTGACACCCCCTTTTCCAGGTGCTTTGTGGGAATTCCTGCACCTGCTCCGTGTGTACCCAGGGTAGGATATGGGGGGAGACACAGGGGGTGGGGTGGGGGACAGGGCTGCTCAGTGCCACCCCTCACTGACCCCCATCCCCAGGAAGCAGCACAGCGTGTTCGGGGACGTCCGGAAGCTGGTGACAGAGGAGTTTGTGCGGCAGAAGTGAGTTTGGGGGTCCTGGGTGGTGGGGGAAGGAATTTGGGGTGCAGGGGGTCCCCCCGTCCCTCCCGGTGTGCCCAGAGCAGCCTCGGCGCCAGCTCAGCCGGGCTGTTTATACCACACCGCAGAGCAAAGCCCGCAGCCCCCACACCCCGTGCCTCAAAGGGTCCCTCACGGGGCCAGGGGAGCGCTGGACACCCCCCCTGTGCACCCCAAAACCTGCTGGGGGAGGGGTCACCAGCCAGCCCTCTGCAGGTACCTGGAGACCACCCCCATCCCCCTGACGGACCCCCCCGAATTCAAATACCAGTGGGGGCCACGGGCAGAAAAGGAAACCTCCAAGAAGGACGTGCTGAACTTCGTGGCCAAGGTGAGGCCGTGTTGTGGGGGGGGATCTCTGAGTTTGGGGGGGCTCAATTTGATGCCCCCTCCCCCATTTTTTTCCCACTCAGATGCAGGGCAAGGACCCCACATTTTGGGCGAGCCAGCACAGCGAGGCCGAGGCCACCACGGCCACCACCTGACCTCCCCCCAAAATAAAGGCACCCCGTTGGTGTGCAGCCCCCCAATCTCCAGGCTCATTGCTGGGTTGTACAAGGTTTAATTTGGGAGTGGGGGCTCCCCTTTTCCCCGTGGGACCCCTCAGAAGTGCTCGGGGACGGTGTTGAGGGCATCGGCCGCGGTGCGGTTGATGTCGACGTTCTGTGGGGTGAAAATGGGGGGTTTTGGGGGAATCTCCCCAAAAATCTAACACCCCCCCCTCAGTTTTTTGGGGGGGTTAATGAGGTCTGCACCCTCCTTTTTAGGGGGGATTTGGGGAGGGGGTTTCTCACCTGGGGTCGTGCCCGGTGGGTGTTCACTGCCTCGATGTTGAGGTAGATGGGCTCGACCTCACACCCTGTTCCAGGGGAGGAAGGGAGGGATTTGAGGGGGATTGTCCCCGTTTTGGGTGGGACACACCCTTTTTGGGGGGATTGTCCCCATTTTGGGTTGGACAGTCCATTTTTGGGGATTCACCCCATTTTGGGGTGGGATATGGGGGGACAGTCCATTTTTGGAGGATTGTTCCCATTTTGGGGTGGGACACACCCTTTTTCGGGGGGATTGTTCCCATTTTGGGGTGGGACACACCCTTTTTGATTTGGGGAGGGGGTTTCTCACCTGGGGTCGTGCCCGGTGGGTGTTCACTGCCTCGATGTTGAGGTAGATGGGCTCGACCTCACACCCTGTTCCAGGGGAGGAAGGGAGGGATTTGGGGGGGATTGTCCCCGTTTTGAGGTGGGACACACCCTTTTTGGGGGGATTGTCCCCATTTTGGGTTGGACAGTCCATTTTTGGGGATTCACCCCATTTTGGGGTGGGACAGTCCATTTTTGGGGGATTCACCCCATTTTGGGGTGGGATATGGGGGGACAGTCCATTTTTGGAGGATTGTTCCCATTTTGGGGTGGGACACACCCTTTTTCGGGGGGATTGTTCCCATTTTGGGGTGGGACACACCCTTTTTGGGGGTACTGTCCCCATTTTCTGGAGGAACTCTGGGGTGACAGTCCCTTTTCAGGGGCATTTGTCCCCAATTCTGAGAGGGACACAAGTCCCATTTTGGGGGGGAATTGTCCCCATTTTCTGGGAGGGACACAATTTCCCTTTTCTGGGGGAACTGTCCCCATTTTCAGGAGGCACTCTGGGGGGACAGTCCCTTTTTGGGGACCCCCACTCACCGTAGGCCACAGGGGTCAGCTTTAGCACCGTGTGCAGGGGGCACTTGAGGTAGGGCAGCTCATCTGGGTGGGGGAGTTAAGAGAAACAAGGTGGGCACAGCAGCTCTGGGCTGTCCCCTGGCTGTCCCCAGGTGTCCCCTGGCTGTCCCCAAGTGTCCCCTGGCTGTCCCCAGGTGTCCCCTGGCTGTCCCCAAGTGTCCCCTGGCTGTCCCCAAGGCCTCACCTGCGCTCTTGTCCAGGAAATAAGCCAGCAGGCAGCGCATGACAGCCTGGTGGCACACCACCAGAACGTTCTCCTGCCGCTCCAGCTCCATGATGACCGGCTCCAGCCGCTGCACCAGGTCCTCGTAGGACTGGGGAGGGGGCTTAGGGGGTGTCCCCACACCCCTGCCCCCCCAGATGTGCCCCCGGGGAGGGGGGTTTTGGGGGTACCTCGCCCTTGGGGTAGCGGTAGCGGTACTTGTCCTGGTCCCGCAGCGCCAGCTCCTTGGGGTAACGCTCCTGGATCTCCTCGTAGGTCATCTCCTCACACACCCCCTGTGCCACAGCGGGCCTGGCGGTAATTTGGGGGGTCCCCCAAAGCCCCAAAAAGACTCTGACCCCACCTGGTACCCACAGGGGGACACCCCTGAGTCCCCCAGGTGTGTCTCTATAGGGTGACGTGGCTGTGACCCCCTTAGTCCCACCAGGTACCCATGAGGTGACATCCCCACGTCCCCCAGGTGTGTCTCTATAGGGTGACCTGGCTGTGACGCCACAGGGGGACATCCCCACGTCCCCCAGTTGTGTCCCCACGGAGTGACCTGGCTGTGACCCCACAGGACATCCCCCAGGTGTGTCCCCACCGGGGGACATCCCCGAGGTGTGTCCCTGCAGGCTGAGCTGGCTCTGACCCCCTTAGCCCTACCAGGTACCCACAGGGGGACATCCCCACGTCCCCCAGGTGTGTCCCCACGGGGTGACCTGGCTGTGACCCCGCAGGGGGACATCCCCCATGTGTGTTCCCACAGGGGGACATCCCCACGTCCCCCAGGTGTGTCCCCACAGGGTGACCTGACTGTGACCCCACCTGGTACCCACGAGGTGACATCCCCGAGTCCCCCAGGTGTGTCCACACAGGGTGACCTGACTGTGACCCCACCTGGTACCCACAGGGGGACACCCCTGAGTGCCCTCAGGTGTGTCCCTCCAGGCTGAGCTGGCTCTGACCCCCTGTATCCCACCTGGCACATGTTGGGGGACATCCCCCAGGTGTGTCCCTGTAGGGTGACCTGGCTCTGACCCCACAGGGGGACATGCCCCAGGTGTGTCCCCGCAGGGTGACATGGCTGTGGCCCCACAAGGGGACATCCTCACGTCCCCCAGGTGTGTCCCCACGGGGTGACCTGGCTGTGACCCCACAGGAGGACATCCCCCAGGTGTGTCCCCACGGGGTGACCTGGCTGTGATGCCACAGGGGGACATCCCCCAGGTGTGTCCCCACAAGGGGACATCCCCATGTCCCCCAGGTGTGTCCCCACGGGGTGACCTGGCTGTGACCCCACAGGACATCCCCCAGGTGTGTCCCCACCGGGGGACATCCCCGAGGTGTGTCCCTGCAGGCTGAGCTGGCTCTGACCCCCTTAGCCCTACCAGGTACCCACAGGGGGACATCCCCACGTCCCCCAGGTGTGTCCCCACGGGGTGACCTGGCTGTGACCCCGCAGGGGGACATCCCCCATGTGTGTTCCCACAGGGGGACATCCCCACGTCCCCCAGGTGTGTCCACACAGGGTGACCTGACTGTGACCCCACCTGGTACCCACGAGGTGACATCCCCGAGTCCCCCAGGTGTGTCCACACAGGGTGACCTGACTGTGACCCCACCTGGTGCAGGCTGAGCTGGCTGTGACCCCACAGGGGGACATCCCCACGTCCCCCAGGTGTGTCCCCGCAGGCTGAGCTGGCTGTGACCCCACAGGGGGACATCCCCACGTCCCCCAGGTGTGTCCCCGCAGGCTGAGCTGGCTGTGACCCCACAGGGGGACATCCCCACGTCCCCCAGGTGTGTCCCCGCAGGCTGAGCTGGCTGTGACCCCACAGGGGGACATCCCCACGTCCCCCAGGTGTGTCCCCGCAGGCTGAGCTGGCTGTGACCCCACAGGGGGACATCCCCACGTCCCCCAGGTGTGTCCCCGCAGGCTGAGCTGGCTGTGACCCCACAGGGGGACATCCCCACGTCCCCCAGGTGTGTCCCCGCAGGCTGAGCTGGCTGTGACCCCACAGGGGGACATCCCCACGTCCCCCGGGTGTGTCCCCGCGGGGTGACCTGGCTGTGACCCCCCTCCCCACTCACGGCGTCGATCTCATTGAGCGCCTTCCACTGCTCGTAGGGCACGCCCAGCGCCTCGGCGGTCTGGATGGTTCTCTTCATGTGGCTCGTCCACACCTTCAGCTCGCGGATGTTCTGGCTGCGGATGAACTGGGCCAGCGCCTGGGCGTACTGGGAGGGCCGGGGAGAAGCGTTTGCCCGCCGGGTGTGGCTTTTTGTGGCCCTCTGGGGACAGCCCTCACCTCACAGCATGGGGAGGGTGGTCTAAGCCCTGCCCCTTTCTGGGCGTGGTTAATTAGCTCTGCCCCGTGATTACCTAAGGTGACTCTGCTGGGTGTGGCCTCCTTTAGCACCAGCCCACACGTCACCTGTGTCCCCCAGCCCCACCTGGTGTCTGTGATGGGATGTCCCTGTGTCCCCAACAAGGTGACCTGCCTGTGCCCCCACCTGCTGCATGCGAGGGGACATCCCTCAGGTGTGTCCCTGCAGGGTGACCTGGCTGAGACCCCACAGGGGGACATCCCTAAGTCCCCCAGGTGTGTCCCCACAGGACAACATCCCCGAGTCCCCCGGGTGTGTCCCCACAGTGTGACTTGCCTGTGACCCCACTTGTTACCCATGAGGGGACATCCCTGCATCCCCCAGGTTTGTCCCCACAGTGTGACCTGGTTGTGACCCCACAGGAGGACATCCCTGCATCCCCCAGGTGTGTCCCCACAGGCTGACCTGACTGTGACCCCACAGGGGGACATCTGCATCCCCACAGCTGTGATCCCACCTGCTGCATGCAAGGTGACATCCCCCAGGTGTGTCCCCACAGGCTGAGCTGGCTGTGGCCCCTCAGGGGGACATCCCCGAGGTGTGTCCCTGCAGTGTGACCTGGCTGTGACTCCCCCTGTTACCCACGAGGTGACATCCCCCAGGTGTGTGTCCCTGCAGGGTGACCTGCCCGTGCCCCCACAGAAGGACATCCCCACATCCCCCAGGTGTGTCCCCGCAGCGTGACCTGGCTGTGACTCCCCCTGTTACCCACGAGGTGACATCCCCCAGGTGTGTCCCTGCAGTGTGACCTGGCTGAGACGCCACAGGGGGACATTCCCAAGTGCCTCAGGTGTGTCCCCACAGGCTGACCTGGCTGTGACCCCCCCTGTTATCCCTGAGGTGACATCCCCCAGGTGTGTCCCCGCAGTGTGTCCTGGCTGTGACTCCCCCTGTTACCCACAAGGTGACATCCCCCAGGTGTGTCCCCACAGTGTGACCTGGCTGTGACCCCACAGGGGGACATCCCTGCATCCCCCAGGCGTGTCCCCACAGCATGACCCGCCTGTGCCCCCACAGGGGGACATCCCCACATACCCCATGCGTGTCCCCACAGGGGGACATCCCCGCATCCCCCAGGTGTGTCCCCACAGGGGGACATCCCCACATCCCCCAGGCGTGTCCCCGCAGCGTGACCCCCCCGTGCCCCCACCTGCTGCCCGCGCGGGGACAGCGCCGAGTCGCCGCCGATGCGGCCGCGCAGGTTGAGCTGGCTCTCGCCGTGGCCGCTCAGGTAGATGGTTCTGGGCGTGACGTGGATGTTCATCAGGTAATAAACCGTGCGGCTCTGCACGTGGCCCTGCACGCGGTTCGCCAGGTACCGCACGCCCACGTCGAAGATCTTGATGTAGGACAGCCCGCTGGGGGGGGTGTGGGGGGGACGCCCCGGTCAGGACAGGCCTGGGGGGGCGTGGGGGGGGCGGGGGGTGGGGGGCACCTGTCCAGCTCGTCGTCCAGGGGCTCGTCGGTGGC